GGTATATATAAATTATATCTCAACACAACTGGAAAAATCGTGTTTGTCTTTTTATTGGGATAATATTTATTTATATATAGGTATTCTCTGCTTGCTGAAAATTAGGTTACACCATTTCACTCTTACAAAAGACCTACTTGTTTCTACTAACAAAACAAAAAAAAAAAGATTCAGCTTCTTAAAAAAAGGGGACATCTATAATACTCTCATCAATCCTATTAATAAAAGCCTATATGATTGTCACGCCCTCATGCTGTGATTCCCTCATGTCGAAACAAGCAATCACCAGGAGGCTGCATGAGCAGTGGGCATGCTCAGGTAGGTGGGAGCTTGACACTGTGTGTGCAACATGGAAGGGGGGCTTGAGGCTCCGTGCAGCAAGGCTTAAGGGTCCTGTGGCTCCACATGGCCAGGCCAGGGGTCCCAGAGTTCTGTGTGGTGTGTAGGCAGGACCCTCTGGCTCTGGCCTACCTCTTTGGGACAATCCATCAAGAAGCCCTGGATGGGTGGGTAAGGCCTACCTCTTTGAGGCGATTGAATGCAGGGCTCCTGCACTGTGAGAGGGCTCAGGCTGAGTGCACAAATTTCGTGCACTGGGCCTCTAGTAAATATTATAAAAGATTCAGCATTTTTTTGCAACAAGATGAAGATATTCATTATCGCCACAATTGTTTTGTGTTGTTCTCAAGATACTAGCTAAAATAAATCAATGGGAAAAATAAAAATTAGAAAATAGTAAGTAAAATTACCCCTGTCATAGAACACATAATTGTAAACCAAGAAAATCATAATCAAAAATTAAAGTTTAATGGTACTACAAATAATGTAATAATTCAATTAGGTGGTTGTGTTTGAAATTAAAACACAGAAATTAATAGCTTTCTAGAAATGAATGACAATATAGAAGACCTAATAATAGAAAATGCTCATTTATAAAATAAAATAAAAATAATTTGGAGGAGTAAATTTAGCAAGAAACAGATATGGGTAAAATAAATATAAAAATACAACCAAAAAACATAGAAGACTTGAACAGGTACATTAGCATGCCATTATTTCATAGGGAAGTTTTCAAACCATTAAAATAATATTTTTTTTCTAAGTTAATACAGGTTTCCCCTACTATCAGAAAGTAGAATGTTCCTATGAAACTTTTTAGAACCAATATCCTCACTTGAGGATATTTTTCTATTGATTTTTAAATATTTTTTATTGATTTCAGAGAGAAAGGAAGAAACATCAATGATGAGAGAGAATCATTAATTGGCTGCCTCCTGCATGACCCCTACTGGAGATCAAGCCCACAACTGGGGCATGTGCCCTGACCGGGAATTAAACCATGACCTCCTGGTTCATAGGTTGACACTCAACCAGTGAGCCATGCGCACCTGGCTTTCCATTGATATTTAGAGTGGAAGAGAGGGAGAGAAAGAAAAAAAACATACATCGACTGGTTGGCTCCCCAACGCACCCTGGCTGGGATGGGGCTTAGCCTGCAACTGAGGTACATGCCCTTGACCAGAATCAAACCGGGAACCCTTTAGTCCATGGACCACCGCCCTTACTACTGAGCCAAACCAACTAGGGCAGCAGTTCCATTTTTTATTTTTTGAGGAAACTCCATACTGTTTTTCCAAAGTGGCTGTAACAGTCTGAATTCCCATTAGCAATGTACTAGGGTTTCTTTTTTTCATATCCTCATCAGCACTTGTTTGTTCATTTGTTTTGATAGCCATTCTGACAGGTGTAAGGGGATACCTTCTTGTCATTTTAATCTGCATCTTTCTGATGATTGAGTTAGAACTCTTGATTTTAAGGAAAAGACACCAAATACAGAATGTTTAAATAAATGAGGAGAATTTAGTATATATAGAAAAGATGTCTCATAAAATTCAAAGGTAACAGAAATCATGGAAATGCTCTCCATCTTTCTGTGCCCTCTGACTGATTCATTCTTTCTTCTTAGTCAGCTTTCTCTGCTGACTCAGTCACATTGGAGGAATAATATGGTTCACCCACAGTTATTAAGTTACATGTTAACATCCAACCACAAAGTCATATTTTCTTTCAGTCCAAAGAGAAAGTATTCTGATAGTTTTATTCTGGTTCATCTAACTGTGATGATGATAATAAGGTCACATTACAAATATGGCTTGGAGAGGGGCAGGAATGGGGAATAAGTGCAAATCTATCACAGTGCACACACACACACACAATATATATATATATATATATATATATATATATATATATATATATATATATATATATATATATTGTGTGTGTGTGTGCACTGTGATATATATATATATATATATATATATATATATATATATAGCCAGTGATTGTAACACCAGAACGACAGGAATGACAGGAAGAACCAGTGTCAAAGATGCCCACTGTAGCTAGCAAGCCAGCCCAATCGGGGGTTGGGGCTGCCAGGCATCCTCTCTGGGACCCTACCCTTGGCTGACCAACCCAGATCAGACTCTCCCACCCCAATCAAAGGAGTGTCCCGCGGGCCAAAAGCACCCCCCCACCCCCACCTTTCCCTCCAACCAGCCCTGTCCTCGATCAGTTCACCCCATCGCGATAGGCCCACAGACCCTCATCCCAGCCCGTCCCACCCCTGATCGCACTCTCCACCCCAATAGGGGGCAGGGTCAGCCAGCCAACCTCCCACAGCCCCTCCCCGCTACTGGACCTGCACCCTATGGGCCCCCACCATCCTGATTGGCCCGCAGCCCCTCCTCCCGGCCGACCCTGCCCCTGGTCCCCACCCCAACCTCAATAGGAGGTGGGTCCGGCCAGCCAACCTCCTGCAGCCCTTCTCCCAGCCTGGCCCCACCCCAAATTAGTTCCCCCACTCTGATCAGGGCCCAGGCTGGCCGGCCAACCACTCATGGCCCCTCCCCCAATTGCTGGTCCCCAATCAGCCCCCCCCTTTCCCGATCCAGGGGCAGGGGCTGGCTGGCCCACCACCCAAAGGCCCTCCGCATGGCCAATCAGCCCCCAAACCCCAATCAAGGAAGGAATCACCCATTGTTCCTTACCCCAGCAAGCTGGCCGTAATCTGCCTGATCTGGGCAGGCTGGCCAGCCAACCTCCCGCCATCTCCTCCAGAGTCCCGATGTGCCCCAATTGGGGCCGGGCCAGCTGGACCCCACCCATGCACAAATTCATGCACTTGGCCTCTAGTGTATAAATAAACATACAGTTCTTGGTTGTGATTTCTTAAAGCATATGAGCTTCTTTAACATCCTCTGCCTTGGGTTGGTTAGTTTCTCTGGAAGCAGAGCCTGGGAGGAATTGAGATGCATGTCAATCACTGAGGAAGTGTTCTTCAAGAAAAATTGTAAGGGAGCATTGAGAAGAAGAGAATGCTGAAGAAGGATACAGCCTCAGGTCAAGTCCAGCTGTGGCCTGATCTAGAGATCTTTTGTAGAGTTTCCATCCCTTAGGATGAGAAGGTGGGCCTTTTGTAGCCTATTCATAGTCAGTTATTGAGGGGAGTGCCTAGCTTTCCTGGCAAGGTAACTCCCATCAACTGAGGGCAATTCTTTGAAGAACTATGAGCCCTTAGAGTCAACAGTCATAACACCTGGGAAGTGTGGAGAGTGGTCAAACAGCTAAACAACATTAACTACCACCCCATATTAATATACTTTCTATTAAAATGTTGACAGCATAAGATTGCATTACATTGTAATACTTTAAAAATATGAGACAAAAAGAGTTAGCTTTGCAATGAAATTCTTTGCCTTTATGTTTTCCATTTTCTTAGATTTCTTAAAGTTAGAACTCAAGTTGGGAATCAAAACAGAATCAATCAACATGTTAACATTTACCGAGCACCTGTCATATCAGTTGAGCTAAGTGCCATTAAGAATGAAAACTAAAGCCAGATGAGGATTCTGTCCTAGATCAGGAGGAATTTCAGGAATTTCTTTACATATGTATAAGAAAAAATGATTAGACTTAATCACATTAAATTAGATATAACATACAGGGGATTTCAGAGGACAGTCTTAAAATTAAGTTTTAAGTAAAATGTTTATGAATTTCAGGAATTTCTTTACATATGTATAAGAAAAAATGATCAGACTTAATCACATTAAATTAGTTATAACATACAGGGGATTTCAGAGGACAGTCTTAAAATTAAGATTTAAGTAAAATGTTTATGAATTTGAGTATTGGTGCTGAATATGTTTGGTCATTTATTGAGTGAGGTTTGAAATATTTTCCACCAACAAGTTTCAGGAAGTTGAAAAACATAATGGCAAATTGTTCTAAATAACATAAAGGTGGGGCTAAAAGAAATACCAACTATATTTATTGTGCTGCTGCTGGGCAGAGATGAAAAGGGAAAGCCACAGAGACCTTTGCCTACATATTCATCTCCCTGGTGCTAGTGGATATTCTATCCCATGGCAGAATTAGAAATACTGCTGGGGAACAAGTATACAAAGTTGTTATAGAAACCAGAATGCTTCAGCTGAGAGTTATTTACAGAGAACTTTAAGGATTATCACTGTCAATAAAAGCAAGTCTGCTTTGCTTTACTCTGTCCCAGTGCATCCAAATTAAATACCTGTTTTGCAGGGACTTTCAAAGCTGCCAGAGGATGGTGGTCACATTACAAAAGAGTGATTTATATTTGGTGTTTTATATTACGTGCTTGACTGTTGTTCACATTTGCCTCAACTATTGTCAAGTTTGCTAGTTTCCACCATATAGGAACAAGGTGGCTATTGACTGCTGCCATTGGCTGAGAAACGTTTCCCCAAACATAGCTGCTATGTTGCCATTACTGTGATACTATGGGACTTGTCTCTTCACATTCTCTCAGCTCACCTTTGAGTCTAAACTGTAATAGTAGCCTCTGCCCACTACTTTTGTCCTTAATTGAAAGTTGGATTTTTTTTCAGCTAACCAACAGGATATTTTTTTTAAGTTGTGGGGTTTGTTTTATGTGTGTGTGTTCTGTTTTTGCAGAAATGAAGATTTTCATAGCCTTTGAGGAATCTTTTGAGCCATTTGAAGTTTCAGCAGATGAAACCGTGGAAGCTGTCAAGCAGATGATAAAGGTGTGTATGTACTTTGTAACTGAGCCACTAAGATGTATATTAATTTTAACTATGCAGTGAAGTTTAAACTGCACACAGGGCAGAGATTTTGCTATTGGATACATTTGGGAACAAACAGGGAACTAAAAATATTTCAAAATATCTTTGTTTGCTTTCACAATCTATACTAATAAAAGGCTAATATGCTATTTAGACCGGATAGACTGGACATCGTCTGGATATCCTCCTGGAGAATGCCACAGTGGCAGGGGCTGAGGCAAAGGCAGTTAGGGGTGATCAGGCGGGCAGGGGAGAGCGGTTACCGGGAGATCAGGCTGGCAGGCAGAATGGTTAGGGACAGTCAGGCAGGTGACATCCTGCAGTCAGACATTCCCTAAGGGGTCCCAGACTGGAGAGGGTGCAGGCCTAGCTGAAGGACGCCCCTCCCCCCATGCACAAATTTCATGCATTGGGCCTCTAGTCTATAATAATAAAAGGGTAATATCCTAATTAGACAAGATGTCTTCTAGACATCATTCTAGACAGAACTTCCCGATGAAGCCTGGGTGAAAGGAAAGCCAGCCCGGGTCCTGGGTCCTGGGTCCTGGGTGCCTGCTGGTGGCCGGAGGAGGGAAGCCCAGGACCCAGGTGCTGGCAGCTGGGAGAAGGAAGGTATCTTAGAATAGGAAATAATTTGGGTGCAATATTTTTTTGTAAACTTATATTCACTCTAAAATAAGAAATTAAGATAAATATTTAAGTCTTGACCATTCAATGGCATTTAACTTGGATATGATCATTCCCATTTGCTAAGGAGCATATGGTGAATCAAGTTATTTAGTAGATTACTATGACCACTGCAAGCTAGATCTTTTAACACAGAGGCTCTTAAACTTTATGGGTTGTAGATCCCTTTGGCATCTGGCAAGCCTCTGGACTCCTCAGAATACCTTTAAATGCATAAAAAAATTAAAATACATACAAAGAAAAAGTAACCAAAATATTAAAATACAACTTGCAAACATTAAAAAACAAATTTGTGATATAGTGACATGTGGACTTCATTATAAACACATTAACAAGTTCTAGTAGTAGATCTAATAGCTATTGTAATTTCAAAGTAGTGATCAGCATATTTTGAAATATCTGCAGCAACTTAAGGTGATATTAAAATATCAATGATTCCTGTTGGTAACAGTCACATAGTATGTGTCCTACATGCATATTTTTTTTTAAATCTCAATTTCATTTAGAATTAATAAAAATAAATTATAGTTTTTCCCATATAAATTGTATCCATAAACTTTGGGGAGGTCTATAGACCCTGTCTAATACTTCTTTCCTCTGTACTAAACACTTTTATAATGCTTAGTGGAAAATGTGAACAAAAATAAATTACATTGTCTGGGACCAGTTTGGCTCAGTGGATAGAGCGTCGGCCTGCGGACTGAAAGGTCCTGGGTTCGATTCCGGACAAGGGCATGTACCTTGGTTGCGGGCACATCCCCGGTAGGGAGTGTACAAGAGGCAGCTGATCGATGATTTTCTCTCACTGATGTTTCTAACTCTCTATCCCTCTCTCTTCCTCTCTGTGAAAAATCAATAAAATATATTTAAATAAAATAAAATAAAATAAAATAAAAATAAATTACATTGTTGGTCCAGTAATGTAAAAGTGTACTGTTTTCATAATATGCTATTGGGAGGGGCAGGGCATGTGCAGGACAAAGGGAAGTGAGGCTGGAGCTGAAGGCTCTTTGTCTGCCCACAGTGTCTCAGATTCATTCTAAAGGAACTGAGAACTTAATTTTCCAAAATGTCAAAAAGGCCATCTTGTGCCCCACCTCTCACCCCAATTCATGCAACACAAATGCCTAGCACACCAGATTTGTGGGATACAATCCGTACAGTCATCTCGCTTACAACTGCATACTGGGAGGGAACCCAGGCGCCAACTGCCGGGTCACGAGAGAATCAACTATTACAGCATCCAGCAAATAACTGGAATTGACCAGAAATGCTTTTCAGAGTTAGGACCTTGTGAATCACCAGCACAGACATTAAAAAAATTTTTTTAACCTTGGCTTTTTGGCTATTTTAAACATTTGTTGTACCATCTCACACTGGGGGGGGGGGGGGGGGGAGGGATTATATATATAAAATTAGTGAGATCTAGATATGTATATAGAATAAAAAACTCATTCTTTTTGGTGGTTGGTAGAGATAAAACCTCAGGCACTTAATGCTTGTACAAGGTGTAGACAAACCTAGAATTTCTAATGGTTAAAATACCCTAGTCGAATTGAAGGATTATCTTTCATTTAAGGTAATTGTCATTAGGCTCCAGAACTCAAGTTTCTTAGTAAAAGCTGGGTTTACAGACCTGGATTTTGTTGACTGGCCTACCAGTTTGAATTGCTACACATAATTATTTGTCTTCTGGATTTAATAGTTGACTTTCTAACTGAGATTCATTTGTCTTCAGTTAAAAAGAGAAAAAGCCGAAAGCGGTTTCGCTCAGTGAATGGAGCTTCGGCCTGCGGACTGAAAGGTCCCAGGTTCAATTCCGGTCAAAGGCATGTACCTTGGTTGTGGGCACATCCCCAGTGGGGGGGGGGGGGGGGTGCAGGAGGCAGCTGGTCGATGTTTCTCTCTCATTGATGTTTCTAACACTCTATTCCTCTCTCTTCCTCTCTGTAAAAAATCAATAAAATATATTTTTTTTAAAAAGAGAGAGAAAAAGACTGTTGTGTCACATCAAAGAATTACAGAATAAAAGTTGGGTGAAATTAATTTGAAGTACCAGACTAGATATTTACAGCAAAAAGTGTATTTATAATCCTTAGGATATGGGATATGATTTCTGTAACTGAAGATGTTTCATTTAACTGATCAACCTAAGTAAAAACAAATATAAAAGTAAAATAAATGATAAACCTAAGACAATAAAAATTGGGTGATATACTTTTTACTTTAGAACCATATTAAACTCCATTCAAGGAAGTTTAGGTACCAAAGAAGCAAATAGCTGTAAAAATGGTTTACCAAAAATAAATAAAATTAATCCAAAAGCCAAATACCTGCATATGTTGGAATATGATATTGGTGATAATTTATACAACCCGGAATAACTGTAAACTTCTCAGTACCTGGTTTTTGTTTGCTGTATTCAGAAATAATTCAATTACTGTGTCTTCAAAAAGCTCTCTCACTCTGTTGTCAAGCTAGAGCAGAAGGCTTGTAACTATCAAACTATCTTGCTTAGCTTGCTAGGTTTTGTCCATTTAAAATTTTCATTTTTTTCTGCATAATTTGCACTTCATTAGCAAATCAATGAACCAGGCACATTTCATGGTACCTGAAAGGAATTCTGACAAAGTGTGTGTAGTGTATGCATTTCACAATTTTTATGTGCATTGATACATGTTTTTTCCCTGGCATATATGTGTTGTTTCATGAGTCTAATGGGTGGCAAAGTTATCAACTGGCAAAGAACATTTTAATTTAAACAAAGAACAGAATAAATTTGGGACCATTCATGTTTTTTTTTGTGTGTTTTTTTTGAAATATATTTTATTATTTTTTACAGAGAGGAAGAGAGAGAGATAGAGAGTTAGAAACTTTGATGAGAGAGAATCATCAATCAGCTGCCTCTTGCACACCCACTACTGGGGATGTGCCCAAAACCAAGGTACATGCCTTTGACCAGAATTGAATTGGGAATCTTTAAGTCCGCAGGCCGATGCTCTATCCACTGTGCTAAACCAGTTTCAGCTGGACCATTCATGTTAATGCAGAAAATTACTCATCCGCAATACACTAGAATTATTATATTTTAATTACTCTATACAGGCTAGCTATTATCTATGTTAATGGAATAGAAATTGTGGTAACTGTAATATTAGAAGCATTTGTATTTTGGTTTGTGTAAGCATTTTTTTTTCTTAACTTGGACAGTACCAGTGAGAATTCTCTCTTAATAAAGTGAGATCATTTAATGGAGAAAAAAATGCTATTGATTTTTAAGGATTATTTCTACATTCCTCTCTCTGAAGATGAACAAGGCAGACAGTATCTGGAGCTGATGTATGCTGGAGCAGCCCTGAAGAACAGCTGGAGTCTTGCTGATGTTGGAATATCTTTTTTTTCAACTCTCAAGTGCTTTGTTAAGGTTTGATGATCAAAATAACATTTGTCCAAGATATCGATATCATTTTGAATAACATTGTGGATAATTCAATGAAAGTAATTTCACAGCTTAGGAAGAGGTTTTCTTTTCTTGCCTTCTTTCTTTTTCAGTTTGTGCTGTAAGGCACGATAGGTTATGGAAATTACAGAGTCCCCCCTGTTTATTCCTTCTCTCCCCTCCCTCCCTCTCTAACTTGTTGCCTGCCCCAAAGAGACACCACAGAGCAACCTACAAATCAATATTGGAACAAGACCAAAGGGAGGATCTGAAATATTGATGCAGTAGAGCACTTCCGTGGGTCCACAATGGATTAGGATCACTCTAATGAGGAAAGGGAAGTACTTCTTAGTAACCGCAAACATGAAGGGGCAGGTTCCATAATCAAATCCAGCAGAGCAGCCATTCATGAATTAGGTACATATACAATGGAGATAACGTTTTCCATTTATAGGGCCCTTAATCTTTGGTGCTTAATTTGGGGTCCTTGGATGGGCTTTAAGAACTTGACAAAACCCTAAAATTGCAATATATGCAAAATTATTTTACTTGGAGACTTTTTGTGTGAAGGACTTTTTTTTAAAAAAATATATTTTTAAATTGATTTTTTACAGAGAGGAAGGGAGAGATTAGAGAGTTAGAAATATCAATAAGAGAGAAACATCAATCAGCTGCCTCCTGCGCAACCCCCCCCCCCCCACTGGGGATGTGCCCACAACCAAAGTACATGCCCTTGACTGGAATTGAACCTGGGACCCCCCAGTCCGAAAGCTGATGCTCTATCCACTGAGCCAAACCAGTTAGTGTGGGTGAAGGACTTTTAACTTTTAGCAATTTATTAAAGAAACAGGTGGCCTACAGAGTTTATTTTATTTTATTTTTAATATATTTTTATTGATTCCAGAGAGGAAGGAAAAGGGAAAGATAGAAATGATGAGAGAGAATCATTGATTGGCTGCCTTCTGCATGCCCCCTACTGGGGACTGAGCAAGGAACTGGGCATGTGCTGAATTGGAATAAAACCATCATCTTCTGGTCCATAGGTTGATGCTCAACCACTGACCCACACCGATGGCCCTACAGACATTAAGAGCTATTCTCTAGGGCAGAAATATTATTCAATACCAGCTGTTTTTCCCATATGAAAACATGAGCCCTAGTAGTAAAATGCATATTCTCTGCTACATGAGACACTAATTTTCTCATATTTAACATTAAAAATTTTTATGGTAAACAAAGCTAACTCTTGTTTTCTGTTTAAATTCTTCCTTGTTTAAAGTATTGTATATGTGTCCTTTACCCCCTTGATCTCTCTCAGGCTGCTCCCATCCCCCAACAAATGCCCTCACCCCCCAACTGTCTTGTCCATTGGTCCACCATTACTTCTTTTTTTTCTTTTCTTTATTGATTACATATGTGTCCTTATCTCCCCACTGCCCCCTACCTCAATCCCGCTCATGCCCTCACCTCCCTAGTGTCTGTGTCCATTGGTTATGCTTATATGTATGCACACAAGTCTTCCCCATCCCCCTCCACCTTCCCTGGCCTTCCCTCTGAGGGTTGACAGTCTGATCAATAAAGCTAACTCTTTGTTTTAACATTTTTACTGATTGACTAAGAGAGAAGACTATATAAAAGGAATATTCTAAAATATTATTATTAAGTAACTAGTGTCCCTGTGCATGAAATTCATGCATGGAGGGGGAGGTGTCCCTCAGCATGGCCTGCACCCTCTCCAATCTGGAACCTTTTAGAGGATGTCTAATTATCAATTTAGTCCAGATCCCATTAATCTTACTTATCTTTTCCAAGAACCAACTCTTGGTTTCATTGATTTTTTTTTTGTATTCTTTTTTTAGTCTATCTGTCATTTATTTCTTCTGTAATCTTTTTATTTCCTTCTCCTTACTCTGGGCATTTCTTGTTGTTCTCTTTCTAATTCTTTCAGGGTTAAATAGTTTATTATTAATTTTTTGTTTGTTACAAACAAACATATGATTTCTTTACATATGACTCCTTTTTCCCTAACCCTAACCCTCCCCCGACACCAAGCACTCTGACCCTGCAGGATAAGCCACAATGACTGCAGGGTCTGTGTCCATTGGTTATGTTAATATGCATGAATACAAGTCATTTGATTGATCTCTAACACCCTTCTTCCTCTGCCTTGTCTCTGAGGTTGGATGGTGTATTCAATGTTATCTTGTCTCTGGATATATTTCTGTTCATCACTTTATGTTGTTCATTATATCCCACATATGAGTGAGAACATGTAATATTTATCTTTCTCTGACTGGCTTATTTCAATTAGCAAAATGCTCTCCAGTTCTATCCAGTTGCAAATGGCAAAAGTTTCTTCATTTTTATAGGAACATAGTATTCCATTGTCTATCGATAGATATACCACAGTTTTCTAATCCACTCATCTGCTGATGGGTACTTAGGCTGTTTCAAAATCTTAGCTATTGTAAATTGTGCTGCTATAAACATAGGGGTGCATATATCCTTTCTGATTGTATTTCTGGTTTATTGGGATATAGTCCTAGAAGTGGGATTACTGAGTCAAATGGAAGCTCCATTTTTAGTTTTTTGAGGAAACTCCATATTGTCTTTCACAGTGGCTGCATCAGTCTGCATTTCCACCAGCAGTGCACGAGGGTTCTTTTTTATCCACATCCTCTCAAGCACTTGCAAGTTTGTTGATTTGTTGATGATGACCATTCTGACAGGTATATAAGATAGTACCTCATTGTTGTTTTGATTTGCATCTCTCAGATGATTAGTGACTCTGAGCACGTTTTCATGTGTCTCTTGGCTTTCTGAATGTCCTCTTTTGAAAAGTGTCTAGATCCTTTGCCCATTTTTTGATTGGGTTGTTTATCTTTCTTTTGTTAAGTAGTAGGAGTTCCCTGTAAATGTTGGAGATTAAATCCTTATCTGAAATAGCATTGGCAAATATGTTCTCCCATGCAGTGGGCTTTCTTGTTGTTTTGTTTATTTTTTGTTTGTTTTTTTGCTCTGCAGCAGCTTTTTGTTTGTTTGTTTTTTTAATATATTTTATTTATTTATTTATTTATTTATTTATTTATTTATTTATTTATTTTTACAGAGGTGAAGAGAGAGGGATAGAGAATTAAAAACATCGATGAGAGAGAAACATCGATCAGCTGCCTCTTGTACACCCCCTACTGGGATTGTGCCCACAACCAAGGCACATGCCCTTGACCAGAATCGAACCTGGGACCTTTCAAGTCCACAGGTTATGCTCTATCCACTGAGCCAAACCGTTTTCGGCTGCAGTAGCTTTTTATTTTGATGTAGGCCCATTTGTTTATTTTCTCCTTAGTTTCCATTGCTCTAGGAGCTGAATCATGCAGAAATTGCTTCGGCATATGTCTGAAATTTCTCTGCCTCTGGATTCCTCTAGTATTTTTATGGTTTCCCATCTTATGTTAAGTCCTGTATCCATTTTGAATTTATTTTTGTGTATGCTATAATTTGGTGATCTAGTTTCATTTTTTTTTCATGTATTTGTCCAATTTTCCTAGCATCATTTGTTGAAAAGACTGTCTTGACTCCATTGTATGTTCATGCCTCCTTTATCAAATATTAATTGAACATAGTGGTTTGAATCAATATCTGGGTTCTATATTCTATTCCATTGGTCTATATGTCTGTTCTTGTGCCAGTACCAGGCTGTTTTGAGAACAGTGGCTTTGTAATACAGCTGGAAATATGGTATTGTCATCCCTCAAAATTTCTTCATCCTCAGGATTGCTGCAGCTATTTGGAGTCTTTTTTTATTCCAGATAAATTTTTGGAGAGTTCTTTCTAGGTCTGTGAAATATGCCGTTGGTATTTTAATGGGGAGTGCATTGAATCTATAGATTGTTTTGGGTAGTATGGACATTTTATTTTCTTAATTTTTTATTTTTTATTAGGGTATTATATGTGTACATATCTTACCATTGCCTCCCCTACTCCCATAGACGCCCTCACCCCCCAGAGATTTGGATCCATTGGTTATGCTTATATGCATGTATACAAGTCCTTCAATTGATCTCTTATCTTCCCCATATCTCCCTAACCTTCCCACTGTAATTTGATAGTCGTTTTGTTGCTTTACGGTCTCTGTATCTATCTTTTTGTTCATCAGTTTATAATATTCTTTATTATCCACAAATGAGTAAGATCATGTGGTATTTTTTTTTCATTGACTGGCTTATTTCACTCAGCATAATGTTCTCCAATTCCATCCAGGTTTCTGCAAATGATTAGAATCCCTTCTTTTTAGTATTCCATTGTGTAGATGTACCACAGTTTTCTGACCCAATCATCTGCTGACGGGCACCTAGGCTGTTTCCAAATCGTATCTATTGTAAATTGTGCTGCTATGAACATAGGGGTACATATATCCTTTCTGATTGGTGTACATAGGGGTACATATATCCTTTCTGATTGACCCAGTAATCCCACTCCTATATTCCTAGGAGTGGGATTACTGGGTCAAATGGAAGTTCCATTTTCAGTCTTCTAAGGAAACTCCATACTGTTTTCCACAGTGGTTGCACCAGTCTGCATTCCCACCAGCGTGAGGGTTCCTTTTTCTCTGCATCCTCACAAACACTTGTGATTTGTTGATTTGTTAATTATAACCGTTCTGACAGGTGTGAGATGGTACTGTATTGTCATTTTGATTTGCATCTCTCAGATAATTAGTGACTTTGATCATGTTTTCATATGTCTCTTGGCTTTCCTTTTGTTTTCTTTTGAAAAGATTCTATTTAGGTCAGTTGCCCATTTTGTTATTGGATCATTTATCTTCCTTTTATTAAGTTGTATAAGCTGTCTGTAGATTTTGGAGATTAAACTTTTATCAGTGATAACATTTGCAAATATGTTCTCCCATACAGTGTGCTTTCTTGTTGTTTTGTTGATGGTTTCTTTTGCTGTAAAAAAAGCTTTTTATTTTGATGTAGTCCCAT